CAAAGGCATGAACAGATAATCAAACAGTCAACAGATAGACATACAATTAAACAGGTATACTTAATCAATTCAGTTCCAGATTTCGGTCAATTAGTTCAGTACTTCAATCAATTCAGTTACCAATCATAATCAGTCTCAGTTTAACAGTAATCATTGGTTAATCAGTAAACAGTGACGAGGGTTGTTACACTGTGAATCTTGATGAAAAAGTTTTAACACCATAGACTTTATGGGTCTACTTTTGCGTCTTGATTTTCTCTCTCTAAAATTGGATCGTTCTTTATTCTTTATAAAAGTAGCTTTTCGGCAATGGAATACATGTTGTTCGGCTAAACCCACCCTTGGGTCTTTATTTATTGTCTCACAAGATTTATTTTAGAGTTGCCCCACTGTTGATTGTCAACAATGATTACAAAGAAAAAGGTTGGCAACCATGCTTTGAAGCTTCAACGACACTATTTCCCTTTCTAGGAAGCTATTCGGCAAGAACAATGAGCACCAAGGCTATTTGGATCCTTCGTAGGGAATACCATGCACTCACATTAGCAATTATAATCCTCAAGAATGTAGTCGAACTACACCATCAAGCTCAACAGCCATGCACGGTCATTCAACTGCCGCGAATAGCCAAACGACTACAATTGCCAAACTCTTAGCAAATAGGCGAATTGATCTTGCCGAGTTGCCAACCAAAGATCAATGCTTGGAGCAAATAACAAATAGCCAAATTCCTTATTGCCGACCAAAGATCAATGCTTGTAGCAAATAGCCAAATTCTTTTTGCCGACCAAAGATCAATGCTTGTAGTGAATAGCAAATGACCAAAATTCCTCTTGCCGAGTTGTCAAAGATCAATGCTTTCGCTGCCTCGTTTCAGTAAATTCAGTTGGTACCCAAGTGTTTCGGCACACCGGGAAGCTAAGAGAAATCGCCGACCAAGAGTTCCGGTACATCCAAAAGCCCCTACATTCCAGGAAGATATTGCTCATCCATAACAAGCTTGCCGAGTCGTCAACAACATCGTGATCATAAGCTCACTCAATTCGGCTCTCACAACTACACCTACTCGACAACAACGACGAGTCGACTTAACGATGACACTACCATTCGGCAACATCACTTCCTCGGCCATATTACTCGTCAACAATTTATATACATTACAGATCTTGGTACCACCGTAAAGAAAAAGTGCCGACCATGAAATCGGCACAATCGCGGACCCAAGTGTTGCCGACCAAGCTCTCGGCACAGTCACATTATAAATAAGACGGACCCAGGTGTTTTGGCACCAGTTACTCGGCACGCCGCTCAAGTTCCTCGATTTTTCATTGAATCGGGTTTACATGTTTTAGGCACAAAACCGCTTGTTTGTCGATCGGTGTTATAACTCCGTCCTCCAGCTCATCGGCAATGCTAATCATCACGAGCAATGCATAAATTTTTAATCATGTCAGCTACAATGTCGAGAACCAAGTGTTTCGGCCAGCCAAAGCGTCACTGACCGCGTTTACGTACCTATTCTCTCTCTACAAGCTGGGTCTACCTTCTTCTTCATGTGAACAATATTTCAACAATACAACAGGAATTACTTGGCCAACCAGGAGCCATAATTTAACCAAAGTTTGCCGATAGTTGTGAAACGGACCAAATTTTCAATACATTGACATTTTTGAAGTTATCGAAATCAAGTTTTGACCATACTAGTGTGAAGTACTCATTGAGACGAGTCCAACACAACAAACTACGTTAAAATCGGAGTTCAAACGAAGCCGTACAAGCTCGCCGAAGTTTGCCGAGCAATGTCATTATTCTGCCGGAAAAGACGACTGGATTTGGAGTTGGCCAACTTAAGAAATTATTTTGTGAATTGCAGTAGTTGCTGTCATAGCCGAACAATCAAGTTCAAATATATAATGTGCAAAATATATACATAAGGATCTAAGGTGGCAAAGTGGTTAAGTATTCAACTTTCCTCATAAGGGCAGGAGTTCAAATCTTGTAGGCAACAACTTTATTTTTATTTCAAGCCGAGCCGTCCAATGCAACATATGTCAGGGAAATTATCCAGTGCTTCGTGGAGCCTAATTCTCCACCAATCTGAGCCGTCAAATCCATTTTGGCTAAAATTATGCAATCTGGAGTCCGATTCCAACGATCCAATAGTCGTTTCCAACTATTTAGAGCCTTTTGAACACATCCGTACAATTTGATTTTGCAAATTCCATACCAAACATTCATAGATGTTATATGCAATGCCATATATCGTAACTAAAACACCATTTTTGTCGCCGTACCTAGAGTTTGCTCAATACTGAATTCAACGACTACATCTTATTTGGCGACTTTCTGCCTATCTCCCAGCCCGACTCATTCGTCACCAAAGGATGAATTCCTTCCAAATAACAACTATCATTCAACAATATTTGGGCACAGAATCCGTTTTAACAATTTGTTCTTGGCTTACTCCTCGGCATTTTTGGCCAACATCCAATCTGAATTTCTTCCGAATAACTAACGTCATTCGCAAGCAATGGGGTAATGGCGATCCAATGTTACATGTTCACAATAATGGAAGCAATTCTACAACTAATTCTATGACAGTTCAATGTGGTGATGGTACAATTTAATCGGCTTAACGCTCATCGCCGAACTCACTGAACAACTTACACTTACTCAACGCTTTCAATTCGACAACTTCGCAGTTTAATCTCCGTTCAGCCGCGTCAAAACCTACTGTGCAAAAACCTATGCGTCATCCATACACCTGCAGCTGGGTCACTACTGTTCTCTGCAACCCATTGTCTCGATAGAACTTTATGTCGTCCATTCCCAAGCAACCCAACTCAATTTTGCTGATTCACGAACTTGGTAGCGTCTGCATTCATAGCTCAACTCCCGAGTACTCAACATATTTCCCACTTCCCCCAATAATCCAGTCGGCCGAGTATCAACAACAATTCCAGAATCACATTGGAGTCCAATTCTACAAATTTCGCACCTTTCGCGCCTAATCTTGGGATCAATGACCTGGAACGTTTAGGCGTTACAAGATTGCTCAACGGTCACATCATATCTAATCAGCATGCAATTTCAACAGCCGGATCGTGGGGCTAGGAAAGAATCCTCCGTCTTTCCCAATCATTTATTTCGTTACCTGGGCCATTTATTGCCAACTGGGACTTCTTAGTCCATTTTCCGCTTTCCACTTGGGGTATATCAGTCGTTTATCATCTCGGCACCTCTACTATGCATGCATACTCGGCCCACTTGGTACAAGCATTACAAAGATAATTACTTGAGTTACAAACTCCCGTTCTTTTTCATACAGCTCCAAACAAGCGACAGTTTTAGAGCAATACACTCATATTACACATTCGGCTACACACTTGGCAGTTCTTTGCATATTTTGCGCATCATCATTGTTATAGCTTTTACAGATTTCCACTTTTTGTGGCTGATATATCTGTATTATTTGGTATAGGCAATCATTGACACAAATTATTATCCTTGCAATGTTTGTAATTGATCGCCGCCTGACACCAACAAACGCCTCCATATTTTGGAGCTCTCCGTACTCGACACATAGAAATATCTCTAGTTCGGCACAGAAGTCCATATTTTGAAGCAATTTTCGCAATCGGCAATACACTACACCCTCGTTCGGGGGCTATAATATTGCGGCTTACACCCTTACCTGGGAGTGATAATACCGCGGCCTACACCCTTGCTCGGGGGTTATAATACCATGGCCCATCGTTACAGAGATCTCCGATGTAGAATTCATGAAATCGCTTATGATATGATTTTTTTAGAATTCATGTAATATAATTTCGGAGTAATCATATATTCACACATACATACATTCATATACGCATTCATACTTGCATTTGTTCATTTGTTTTGTTCTCGTATATATGTATCAACAATACTTTTTCTAATATTTATTCAATCAACATCGCTCGACAATGTGATTCGGAGGTAGCATCTGTTTATGCCACGAACTCAGAACAAAAAACTTCCACTTCTTGTGTGAAAGAAAGCGAACGTTTTGGGGCTATTGTGGGAGCCAGAAAAATATCCTAGCTATAAGGGTAAAATATCCAAAACAAAGATGATCCATCTCCTATAAAAGGAGGGGACCCCATACACAAGAGGTATGCCTCATTTTCCCTTCCACAGAGCACACACACTCTTTAAACCTTGATCTTCTCTCTTTGTTCTATTTTGGCTAACTTTATCATCGGAGTGTCTCCGGTCAGCAACCTCGGTTGGGTGGCGCCAATCATGCTCATCTTTGCAGATCTACAAGGGTAAAGCTCATCTTTTCTCTAAACCTTGATCTTCTCTCTTTGATCTGTTTGGCTAACTTTATCATCGGAGTGTCTCCGGCCGACAACCCTGGTTAGGTGGCGCTAATCATGCTCATCTTTGCAGATCTACAGGGGTAAAGCTCATCTCTTTATTGGATCTCTATAATCAATATGAGAGGATTTTCCTGGTCTCACATCAATACATATAAAAAATATTAAATTAATGAATAAAATAAAATATCACATATTATTCGTTAATCAATCATTTTTTTCTCTCATGACTATCTATTCAACTACAAAAAAGATCACAAATCATTTCAAATATAACTTTTTTTCATCTAAAAAAAAAACAAAAAAAACCAACTAAAATAATTAAGTTTTCAAAAGAGACAACGGGCTAGTTTGGCATGTACTAAATAAGCCAAAAAGTCAAAAAGTCACTATCTTATTTAAGTCACATCATCTAATTTAAATCAGATCACCTCTCAAACCCATCACATCAAACCCAACCCAAACCCACCAATAAGTCAAAAAGTGCACTTTTTTAGGACATCCCAAACCAACAAATGAATAAAAATTTAAAAAGAGAACCAAATTAAAAATGAATTTCAATTATTTAAATCAAAATAATAAAAATTAAAATAAAATTTGAGTCAAACTCGATGAATTTTTTTTTAAAAAAATTTGTGTAATTTGCAGGAAAAAAAGAATGAAGAATAAAGGAAGAAAGGGGCCGCTGACAAACCAACCAAGCCTGAATTTGGTAATCAGATGGTCGTCTTCCAGCCATCGCCACACTAGCACTGGAATTCCATCGTCTCTTTCTCTTGCTGTATACACCAACGATGCCTGTAAGTCTCTCTCTCTCTCTCTCTCTCTGTGAGTTTGAATGTAGATCTTGTTTGATCAATGTGAGGAGTCTAGGGTTAAATTACGTACATATTGAGTGAGTACATACATGTTTGTGATTGGGTATGTGTTTTCAGTTCAGGAGGGTGATAGAGGTTGAACCACCGAGTCCTCTTCGCTACATAATCGGAGCAGCGATCATGATGATCGGCGTCGTATTACCCGTCGGATTCATGATGTTCCGTAACAAGCGTGTTCCCTCCTCTTCCTCTTACTCCAAACAGACGTAGGTCTATATGTATATATGTATTGTAGTTATTTGTGATTTTGATTTTTGCTTCTTTTTTTCTTTTATTTTTTTTATTTTTTTTTAAAGGATTTTTGAAGTGGGTCTCAAACTAAAATTGGGAAATTAAATTTCTTTGGTGATTCAGGAACAAAGTTTTGATGTAAGAGGCATAGATAATCGCTTTTCATTTGGGTTGTGGAGGTGGTTGAATTGTGATCAAGAAGAAGAAAGAAGAGCCTATAAATAGTTCAACTTGAATTCCTGGCATATGGGTTTTTTATGGAATTATAGCTTCAAATCTATGAATGACAATGCTTGTGATCATTCTCTCTTTTCATTTTCTTTCTGGGAGCTCTATTGATGTTTACTTCTTGTTTACTTGGACTCAAATACAGTTTTTTCTTGAAATTTCTTTGAAAGTACACTTATGCATTTGTGTCGTTATTTGGAATAGAATTCACAAATTAATGTTTTGAGTGATTGCAATCAAAAGGGAGGTCCTTCCAATAATGTGTCTTTGTGCATGATGTTGTAAGGTATGATTATATTTATATGTTTTGGTTCTGTAAATTCTTGAATGTTTTCTGTCAAGTTGAATTGTGATCCTTGATTTATGTAAAAACTGGTGGATTATTTGATAAATTTTTATGTTTTCCCATATTACGTAAATTTGATTTTCTTTAACCAAAAATGTGAACTTAGAGACTACTTTCAGTAACTTGAGTTTTTGATAGTGTAATCTTCTGAAGAAATGAGCTGTTACGTGGAGCTTATTCATGATGTTCTATCAATCTTGAAACTCATACGATGGATACACGGTAGGCATGCTATTAGAAGGTTTAAGTAGGTTGATCAGATTGCGATGCTTGTGTGATTTCATGATAATTGTAGGCTAATATAGTAGTATGAGATTCTCTGTGAGAAGGTATTGCGTAAATTGCAAAGATCTTCATTTAACTAAAATTATGAAGCGTGTTAAGAGACACATGATATGACCAAAAGCAAAGTAGTGCTGGTGTGAGTTATCGAGGATCTTCAACCGTTTGGTATATGGGTGTGAACAAAGTACAGCTCTCTGAAAGGTTTTACAGGTTTGGACTTTTATGGTCTCTAGTATATACTTGCAGTGGTTGTGGTGGAGGTGTCACTTCCCCTTACAACACTTTGGGTTAGTCATTTGCACATGAAATGTCAGAATTCATAACCAGGGACACGGTTAAGATTATTTGTGTTAGAATGCAATCTCCTTCTCTTATGCTTCTCGTAGGTCTTTCCTACTAACACATAATGCACTTGGATGATGGACATCCTGTTCATGAGTGGGGTTTTTGGTTCTTCTCAAATGGGAACAATATGAATTTTGCACTGGATATGACCCATTACTAGTTGATAATGTCAGCATTAGCTGTCTTCATCATTCTAATCATTCTTTTCTTCATGCATGATTTGGAGCAGCCAAATCACTCTATGATTGTTATAGAGGTACAACTCAAAATCATTTTTCTCAATGCACATAACAAAATTCCAAAATTCAAGCTTGTTAAAATCACTTGGGAACAAACTGGAATTTTATATAATAGCCTCTATCCTTACAAGTAACGTGAAGCAAAAATTTGATCAGCTCAAAAGATGATTGTCAGCATTTGCAAAATCATAGCCATACAAAACGAGTCTTTGCTAAATCGTATACATGGGGACTGGTTGCTATGAATCATGCCACCTTCCCAGTGCTTCTCCAACATGGATTCTATCCCCACGTTTGATACAGAACCTGAACTCCGATGAAGCAGAATCATCTTCTAGTGATTTTGATATGGGAGCTTGGAATATGAGTATCACTGTTGATCCCATGTTGAAAGCAGCTACCTGAAACGATGAATGGACACCAAATATAATGAATTTATTATGAACTTTAAAAGACTAAAGCATAATACCAAAATTATTTAGCACAAATAATACATCACCCACCAACTTCAAATGACAGCAGATCTAGAAAAAAAAAAAAAAAACATTCTTGATTTCATATCAGTAACTCCAATACTTGAATATGCAATAACATATTTTTTTTTGTTTTTGTTTTTCAATGGCCTGGTTTATGTAAATGTTTGCCTGTGAAGTACAAATCAATACACGAAGTAATTTAAACTACTAGTATTGCTCTTTCATAAAGATGACAAGTTATAAAGTGTCCAAATTTTGAAGGAACTAATGTTAATGCATCCCTAACCTCATCCCCTTTCTTAAGCATCACACCGACAGCTTCAGGTTCATAAACCCGTTCTTCAGGTGGCTCCGAGTGCAGTAAATTCTTTCTTGTCTGATTTGTCCAGAGTTCAGGTTCAATGAAAAGCTGCCATGTGCAAGTTCACACAGAAGTCAATAACAACAATGGCAAGTTGAGTAGGAGAACCTAAATACGCAAAATTACAACCATTTCAAATGTGATGGAGCCCATCGAGGAACAGTGCATATAAGTTTACGACACTTCCAGATTTGATCAGAATATTTTAAAACTGAAGATTGATGTAAAAATAGCAACAGTAATCCAAGTTGATCTCATGCATCAGCACAGGATAAGAATGAGGAATAAAAATAACAAAAATAAAGGTAAATCGTAATGAGAAAGGGACACTTTACCTCAATTGACCCAATAGTTGTTGCACCTATTGCTGCTATTGCCATAAAACCTTCTTGCCATCGGCCTTCAAGCACAATCTGGGGAAACAACAATAAAAATATGTGAAGCACTCAAATCATCCATAGGAATGGATAAACAACAATTAGACAAAGGATATTGGCATATAGGATTATGAAATTATATAAAACCTGAGAACTAACGCATTTTGGGAAATTATATCATACTCCCTTTTGATGCTTTTTAAATTAGTAAAAATTGTTTAAACCTCATATAATGCTAATTTGACCCTTTGTGATCAGCAATATTTTAGAAAAAATGAGTAATAAGACATACTCTTTCGTTCTCAACATAGAGGTTCCTGATTGTTCTTGCAGCACGTTCATTCAAAGGGAAAAGCCGACCTGTAAAAACAATGATAAGTGTCGAAAATTGGCAAACAAAATTTGATAAATCAGATAAGTAATAAGCATAAATGGATACAAGTGAAAATTTGAGAGCAACTCAGGCAACTGGGTATGGAGGGTACTCTAGCATTGAAGAAATGTTTATTGATCTATTGCTATATTTTTCTGATCGCACTATCTGGACATGAAGGAGCCATCTCTTTTCTTTGGTTCAAAGGGCTTTGAAAAATTGGTATCCAAACATCTCTCTAAAATGTGATATTGTCAAGTGGATAAAGGATGCATTAAGAGGCCCAAGGAAGAGAGAAGCAAAGGATATTTCTACAGATGCTACATTCATGATTGACAATCGTCAAGGAATGCAGCACCATTATCAAACAGAAGTGTATCTCTAGCAAAAACTTCTTGATGGACATGCCACCACAGTCTTCGTTCCAGTTTCTTACATTTATACTATTTTACTCCCCACCTATTCTGTTCTTCCCTTTGATAGAAAAAAGTAACTTCCAGTGGAAGCCCCTTCTCCCAACAAGTTGAAAAGTGAAGTTCAAGTGTATATTCCCCATTGAATTTATTTAAAAAGAAATGAAGACAAAAAGAAATTCAAGCAAGCTGAATAAAAGTCATTGAAATAGAAATTATTAATCAAGACAAAACAACATAGGCGTATGACCATTTCCTAACATACTTGGATATACATCTCTCAATGACTATGACCATGATCCATACCTGAAAAATGCCGACGAACAAGAACATTCCAATCAACTGGAGAGTGTATTCGATGATAATCTCCAGGCTTCAAGTAAATTACACAGTAGAAAAGGCCCGTTGTTAGACTGCAATGGAAATCTAATGTATAGATTAACTTGCATTTTGATTTTTCTCATCTTGTCAACATGCATCGCATCACAAAAGTATGAACACAAATCTCCAAAACAAATAGGCTTGATGAATGAAAATAGGTTGGGATACATATATATAATTACCTTGCTGGTGCTGGGTCCCTAACTTTAGGAGAAGCCAGACTAATTCTCCACCAAGACTTTTTATTCTCATGTCTTGGAATTATTTCTTGTCCCTCACTATCTTGTTGAATATCTTCCTCAGCTATCACAGGAAGGAATGGGCTTGCACCAAGAAGAGAAGATACAGAATAGGAGAATCCTTTAACTTGCTCAATCATGGAACCTGCTCCTTTCAACTCTCCAAATCTTAGAATAGTGCCATCCACTGGACTAATCTACAATCACAACAGCAAAGAGTAAACAGATATTATACAATTGTCAGCAACAATTTAAAGTGAAACAGAAATTGTACCAACAAGATGTCCAAGAAGCTGGTTACCAGTTACCAGACAACATGGGTCAGAATCAATTGGTCTAGAACCATCTTTAAGGGTGCGGACAAAGAACTCTCGTAAAGATGCATATTTGTCCAAAGGTTTTGCTGCTTCTTCTAAATCTGAAATACAAACCGAGTGTCAGTTCTAATAATTTCTCGCTTCATTGTCTTACACATCAAAATAATAATATTAATAATAGTAATATCTTCCTTCATGGCTTATCTTGCATATCAAACTACTAACAGTATAAATAATAATAATAATTTCTTCCTTCATACCATTTTACCAACAATAAATTGGTTGCAACTTATACTACTAAGAGTTTCAAAATCGTATCAACCAACTCAATTGCTTTTGTAACTATAGTATCAAAATCATATCAACTATCTAAGCGGACAAAAGATAAAAGGGGAAACGGAACTTACTTGAATGAAATGCCCGAGCCCAGGATCTATAAACATATGGACGAATCCAGATAGGAAGTTCCTGAAAAACATATTTTAATTTTTAGGAGGCAATAACTAGTACTATGGCCACATTTCAGCGTAAAGCCATTAGAACTAGCAATTTGCTTTAAAGGGAAAAATAAAGAAAAGAAAAGAAAAAGAAGCACATGAATATGAGAAAATGTTGAACCATTAACCACCAAAATATTCTATTAGTGATCATATAATGTATGGGACAGAGAAACACGCTCCTAAAGCAAAAAATTGTTGCTTCAAAAGTTCTCAGTGGAGAGAAATAAAAAATAAAAACAGGTACCAGACAGGCTACATGAGGACACATAAATTATGATCTATAGCATAGTGTTTGTTTGTAGATATCATAAAGGGATATCATCAAGAATCCATGAAATTAGGCAATGTAGCTATAAATTTTCTTGTTAAATAACAAAACACGCACCATACTAGCCAGGAAACCCCAAAATCTGGAAATGGAGCGCAGTGGTAGCAATCTCAAGAATGTAGCCTGAAGTTGTCAAGATCACAAGAATACTGGTAAGAAGTCAGAAGTGAAAATGAAAACATCACATAGCCAAATAAGAAAAAATGTAGGGTCAAAAACTTTCAAAATGGTAAAAACAGACATATTACTTTTACATCGGGTTGAAACTCAATTTCAATTCCATTCTCCCTTGCCTCTTCAAGCTGTCACGCAAAACACAAAAAAATTTCAAACATGCGAATGATCATGAAAGAATAACAATAGCTACACCAATTACCTAGAAAATTCATTTTGATTATCAGACATAAACCAAAATACTTGTCAAAAAAAAATAAAAGATTCGCTAAGCCACAAACATGTATCAATGACGCGAGCCAAAAATTATGAGTTTGCTACCAATAATTAGTTAGCATTGAACGCAATTCCATTGGCATTTGAATGGGACGCACACTAGTGAACAGAGAGTGCATTGTAATCTATCTATGCACTTGTCGCTGACATATTGTCAAAAAAAAGTTTAACTTGTGTCAACAAACAAAATTGTATTGCCAAAATGCTACTCAAATCATGCCGTGTATGCATTCATCAACATATGCTAAACATTCCTTTTAAGGTGTGTTTAACAAACCTTCTTGTCACCATAGAGACGACGAGCATGAAGAGCACCAAGCATTACAATAGTTGCCAAGGTTGCACCAGGCACCAAAAATGAGTCACCTGCACACCCACCAATATTGAGCTACCTCTGTTTTTTCATATTGATTGAGTGAAAAAATGCGAGAATTCATAGAAAATTATACTCTTAATTTGCATCATGAAAGTATAACTTTTTTCCTCCCAGAATCTCATGTTCAGTTTGCTATCAGATTTAGACAACACCCATTTTTTTCTTCTTCTGAATATTTCACTATTTTTACAGTCTCAACCAAATATTGACAAAATTTCTATATAATCCATAGAAATATTTGCATTGTATAAGAAAATCCACAAGTAGTAAAACAAGAAAACCAGAGAAAAAAAGAAAAAAGAAAAAAAAGGGAAACTACATGCAGGTGGAAGAAGGAAAAAAAATAACCAACTCATGTGACTTGCACCCCCTACAACCTTTCATTTGCACCGCCCCATATACACACTTGCACCGCCATGTATTAGTAAATTTTTTTTTCCCCTTTCTCCCACTTGCATGTAATTCCCCTAAAAAAACCCCCTTTTGGTGGATGCTAAGGCGTATAGTTGTGCTAGGTTCAGTTGAGTTCAATTTTTATCATAAAAAAATAAAATAAAAAATTGCAAGTTTAATTTATTTTCTATTTCTGACAGGCACTTTCTCGGCGGGCAAACGGGAAAAGAAAAGTAAGGGTTTTGTTGAATAAATTACCTTTGGAACTATTACTTCTTCCGCCATTGATGGAAGATCTTGCTTGGGTGGTCTGAAACTTCCGGAGAAACGAAGTGAAGCAGAGACGTTGCTGATGAAGATGACTGAGGAGTGTGTGATGATGGGCAATGAGAGAGAGTCTCTGAAAAACCCTGAACTTCATCTTTTACAGCCAACACAAGAGCGAACGAGAGAGAGAGAGTGGATTTTATTAGGGCTTTTGAAGGTTGTGTTCGTATTCCCACGACAAGACTATGGCTTGTGTTGTGTTGCTGGAATCGGATGAGTGAGGATCCTCTCCTTGCCGCTTCTGTGCTTGTGCCCGTTCTTGCAGGCCTTCGGGTCTACTTTTAGGCCTAATTTTGATAATTCGAACCGTTTATATTTCATGATTTATTCAGTATATCATACCTGTAAAAAATCAAGTTGATCGGATATCAGAAAGTATATGTTCGAAAAACTGTTTATTAAATTCTTTAAAAAATAGTGTTTAGTTCAATTTTTTAAACACATACTTTCTGATATTCGATCAACTTGATTTTTTACAGGTATGATATACTGAATAAATCATAAAATATAAACGGTTCGAATTATCAAAATTGAGCCTGAAAATAGACCCAAAAGCCTGCAAGGACGGACGCAAGCACAAACTTGCAAGGAGAGGCTCTTGACTCGGAATTGGATACCATCCGTAAATATATGCACAATTTGGACAGTCATTTGAGTTTTTTTCTTTTTTTTCTTTTTTATTTATTTATTATTATTTATGAGAGAAAGTAAATAATTGACGGCCATTAAAAAAATGAAATTGGACAATTACTGCCATTTGATAAAATTTTAATTTATTATTTGTTTATTTTTTAAAAATATAAAAATATATACCTAGATTATAAAAATAAAAATTTAAAAACAAATTTGGAAGTAAGAGAATAGTGAAAAGTGATTATCAATCAGAATGTAATTGTCAAGGATGAGCAATCTTTAAAGTTGGTTGCTGATCAAAACATGTTAATATCAAAAATAATTTATGATAGAAGATGATTGAAAGCGGTGAAAGATGATTGTCAGGTTTTGTTTGGCAAGAGTGTTTTTTGGTTATCTTAGTTACAAAAGATAAAATAGATTATTTTAGTCACAACAAACAAAATATCACATCTAACCCATAATCATTACATTCTTCTCTTACAAAAAAAGTCAAAAAAGTTAAAAAGTCAAAAAATTCTTCTCAAATCAAATTTTTTAGCCTAGGTTAAAATAGCAAAAAAAATCAAAAAATTAAAAAATTAACCCACTTCCCAAACGGAGGCTCAATTATAGGAGACAGTTGTCAAAAGAAGATGCAACAATGACAATAGAAGAGTGGTGGTCTTGGAAATTGTTTATAAATTTTATTTTAAAAAAAAATGTAAAATAGTAAATGAAATTTCATTTATAATTTTTTTTATGAAAGCATATAAAAACAAGTATTTCCCCATAACAAATGATAATAAATTAATTAAAATTTTGAATTTAACTTATTTTCCTCAAATCAATCAAATATCTCAAATTTCATGTTTAACAAGATTGCAAAACATAAAAGTCAAAAACATAATGCTAATCATTAAGTTAATCAAAAGGGATTTAAAACCAAATCTAACCCTAGTGTGTATTAAATTTTAAAATAACATAAAATTTGTTATAGTTTTATTCATTCAAAATTAACGTAGCTTGCAAAAGTTAGCACAACCGATTTTTTTTTTACACATACAAAATGGGGTTTAAATTTCTCATTGCACTCATTACATGTATTTGAATTCTTGTATTTAGGAAGAAAGTCTTATTCAATGTGTCACAGAGATATGAAAAAACTATTTATTATAGCTCAGTGCAAATTACAAATAGCTTAAAGATACCGATTAAATGGAAAATGTTTCAAATTCTCAGAAACCAACCTCTTTAGAAGAAAACCTAACAATATATCCTTCAAACAAAAACCAGATAATGATTTGATGAAACCAAGCAATATCAGCAAAATCAACGGTAGCGACGGAGGGAGAGGGTGTTGTTCCTTTTCCATGTTGCCCTGCGAGAAGGTCGTGCCTCGTGATTCAAATGTCCCTTTCCACGGAGACCTCTGTATTTCTTTCCAGCAGAAGTGAGCCCTCGGAGTTCCCTATGCTTATGAACAGGGTTGCAGATCCAACTGATTCTTGGGTCATTCCGGATAGCATTATGTGCATGATCAACAAGGATTACCTCAAAGTACTTATAAATTGAATCCTACATTAAAAAAATTAAGGCATAAAGAACCATAGTGAATACAAGATGTCAGCAAAGAAAGAGAGAACGACGAGTGGAGTTTTTGGAGTTAAACAACATACCTCATTGATCCAGTAGGAGTTGAGAACTTTAAGGCCACCCAACTTTCGACCAGCACGTTCCTCTGCAACTGACCTCTTGCTGCGCTGAAACTTCAGTTGAGTAACACCCCGGTTTGTAGGCTTACCGTAAACAATACCCTTGGGAACGGGCCTCTTGCGGCCACCTCTTCTAACACGGACACGGTAGATCACATAACCCTATTGGGACAACCCTATTAGGAGTTTGAGTAGTGTTATAGTGTGCATGATATAGCACAAGCAGATAATTGAAGTATACCCTCAATGTCACAGTAATAGGTTTGACACAACAGGAAAGTGATAAACAGCCCAAGGGATTATCTGGTAGAACAGCAATATAACAGTAGTAATTCAGTAGTTTCATTTACTTGAAATTGGTCCTTTAATTCTGAAATAACTGTCCAACAAACATGCATTATATTAATAGTTGATTGCAAAGTAAGGGGCTGTTTGGACAATCTGAAAAATGGACCAAGTCAGGTACACTCCCATCAAGTTATTTGTTTTTTTGGAAAATCATCTGCTTGTTAGCTTCATTTTAACAAGGTTTTGGTACTTTGCTTTTACTAATACCAATGACCCTCCCTCTATCTCAACCTCAAAATTTTGCCCAATTGTATTTAAATCACACTAACTAAATGCCTATGGAACTGTACAAAAAATCTTAATAATACTAATATGACAAAAAAAAACTAAACATAGGCTGAGCCACCAAGAAAACATAATGCGTGAAGATCATATGGCAGACAACCTGTGGTAAAAAAAAACCTCATGTTATGAGAGTGCAATTATTCAAAAACATAAAAACAAGGTGCAACTACATCATAGATGCAGTTATGATGATAGACCACAAGGACACTAATGCATCATTGCAAAATGAAATGTCTACAGAGCTTCTAAACGTTGAAAAACTCAAATGAAAACAACCAAATTTAGCCTTGACCTATGCAGCTATGCCTAGCCAAGAGCCATTATGTCCCTTGAACCCAATATCTTTGCCATCATCTAGCATTTTTCATGCTAATGAATTAAAGTTTTTTTGTACAGATCATATATGACATAGGATTCAATTACGAGTGCCGACGTCTCAAGCAAGACATTAATGAACATCTAATGATCTATCGAGCAGCAATTAAGGCTGAAATGTAACTAATGCTTACATGTAAAAATAAAAAATACCCTTCATATTATCTCTAAAATCACATGCACTACAGAAATTCAAAACACCCCTACACATTTGTGTATAGTTTATCTACTTCGGACTGTGGTGTGGAGGCAATTGGTGCATAATAATTATAGATAATGAAATGTTAAATCTAACTTTGAAAGCAAAAACTGTGATCAACCCAATACTTTAGACCTATGAAGCACGGATACTCCGAAATGACCCTCGTCCACGTGTCGGATACATATCGGATATGGAGACGCGTCCAATACAGCGGGATACGTATCAGATACGGCAAAGAAGTATCCCATATTTTTTTTAAAATTTTTTTTGAATTTCGGATACATTTGGGATACGCAAGGATACTTCAGGATACGTTCGGGATACTATCGGGATATGGCGGGGCGAAAAAATAATTTTAAAAACTTATAATGGGGGTCAAACTGTAAAATAACAAAAGTATTGTAAAATAAAACAAAAAAATCAACCAATCTCCAAGCCCTAGGTTCGAACAGCAGCAGTAAGAGGAGTCGTCATCGTCTCTATCGCAGGGAAGGTTCACGTACAGCAGACAGAAGCAAGGAGGACGAGGAGGAGTTGTCGATCAAGTTCGTCCTCTCTCTCCCTCTCGCTCGATCTCACAGTCTCTCTCCCTATCCCTCTCCCTCTCTCTCTCTCTCTCTCTCCCAGTTCATGTTTTGATTTTTCTTTTTCTTTTTTTTCCTTGTGTTTTTTCCTTACCCATGTGAGTGTTATTCACGTGACTTTTTTTTTATTATAGGATGATATTTTGGTTACCCTTTTATTGTCTTTTAATTTAACCAATTTTTACAATTGATCCCTCACTTTTTAAATAATTACAGTAAAGTCTGCACACTTCTTTCTTGTATTTTAATGTACCCCTTCCATCATAACATCATTTAAATTTTAGGTGAAAATTGAAATCTATGACCAAACCAAACCAAACCAAACCAAAACAAGTCTTAAGTCCCAATCAAATGGTGTTAGGATGATAGTTCAGACTCTTTTTTTTTTTTACTCTGTTTTATTTAAAATTTAAATTTTCAAAATTTGTGTTATTAGGTGAATTTTGACTCTTTTTTTTTTTTAAATTTAAATTTTTAGAATTTTTCGTAACTTTATAGGAATCTTTCTTTTTTATCAAATTATCTTTTGCTTTAAGTTTTATTTTTATACATGCTACATTACTAAAAATTGTAAAAATAATATTTTTTACGAACGTATCCCCACCGTATCTATATCCTAGTTTTTTAAATTTTGTCGTATCACCGTATCGTATCGTATCGTACGCAATATCAATATCAGTATCCGTATCCGTATCCGTATCCGTATCCGTATCCGTACTTTCTAGCTTTAAACAAAAACTCATTTGTAACAACATTAGGATGCGACTGTTTTGGAACATTTTTAGAAACTGTAATCAACATTTTATGGTGTTTGGCAAGATAGAAAATGCTTATTTGGGTGAAAACAACAATGTGGATCCCAAATTTACAAACTTTTTTCTGGAAAAAAATTTCAGTAAACAACAGAGAGAAAGAATTTTCCAAAAATTACACACAAATATAAATTCATACAAATAATGTGAACATGAAATCCAAGTAATTTGAGATCATTGGTTTACCTGCTTAGCTTTGTAGCCCAAACAGCAAGCCTTGTCGGGGTGAGTGGGGTGAGTGACACGAACAGTGGAAGGAAGCTGTCGGTACTC